CATTACATTATGTTTTTTTCCTAATTAATAGTAACATAATAAAATAATAGAAATCATAGTAATCAAAAATAAATTTAATATATTCAATAATAATAAAAAAATGTCTCGCCTCAATGATCAATGAATGAATTCATCTATTTTTATATTTGCAGCTCAAAATCTATTGATTTTTTTTTAGTTAATCGCAGAAACAAGCACACCTTAATCGTCATCGCTTTTTATGTACGTAAATTTATTGAAAGCAAAAGTAAAGCGTCATCAACAACAACAACTACGCAGGCAGCACAAGCAACTACGAAAAACACGACGCTGTGAGTAGTGCAGCATTGGCGCGCATTTTTTGTTGTTTTGAATGCTTTTAAATGCTTGTGTTTACGTTTTTACACTAAAAAAAGAATAAGAAAAAAAACTCATTTGTTGAATGTGTTTTTTGCATGCTTTAGAAAAATGTTCTCGTTAAGTTCTCGTTTTATATAGTAGAAATGTGAAACTAAATGATTATCTAGAGATTTATTTCTTATTAATTAACTTAATTAAATTGATATAGACACGCAAAAAAACAGCACAAATTATCCATTTATGGGAAAGTAAAATATTACAGATATGGCAGTTACAGGAAATTTATAGCAATGGAAGTAATTAGCGATGATATTAACAAAGATTAATAAATTATTATTTGACATATATTTTCGAAGTTCTGGTTCAATACGGAGGTATGACGACTACAATATGCTTTAAGGAAATCATCTCACAAGCTTCGACTAGCACTTGACAGACATCCAGGCAAACCTGGATGTGAGGCTAGTAAAACGATAGAAAACTGAGTGGCGCAGGTACTAAATAGTGCCTACGTTAGCTCAAAGAGGACTTAACGTCCGGATAAGCAAAAGCGAAGGACTTAAGCCGTCCGAAAGGCAACTCAGAGCCGAGGAAAATATTTCCTTTAAAATAGAATATTAATAACTTACAAAAATGCTACTCTTATTTCAAAATGACTCATGAGGGATGTTCTTGTATCTGAATTTATTTTAAAAATAAGATTCAGAAATTAAGTCTTAATACCCAAAACGAATAAGTGTGGACGGAGTATTCTGTCATAAGTATAAATGTTTGAAATCAATTATTTCAAAACCTTTTACCATTGTTTAACAATTAACGAGCTTATAAAAAATGATCATAAATACATATATATTACTTATTTCTAATAATGATACAATGTGACTGTTTTTTTCAAAACCATTTTATGAGAAAATTTTTTATAATCCGTAAAACTTAAATAGCAAAGTTAATTATAAAATTTTAAACACACAGATGAATTTATCTAAGATGTCAATTTTTTTTTATTAATTATAAAAAGCTTTCAGTTAATAGAAGTAATATAATATTGCATCAATTTTTTTTCATTTTCCAAATATTTTGGAAATAGTTCCTTAATTAATGAAATTAATCAAATACTTGCAATTTTTTTAATGAAGTTATATTGTATCGTATCATTTCTTTTTAATTTTTTGCATTTTTGAAAAATTATTGCTTGGTTTATTTTGCGATAGATACTTTGGAGTATTTGCGATAAATACAAGTTGTAATCCAGTAAGCCAATAATCATAAATAGATTCTCAGAATTATCTACATAACCTAACACTCTTTATGCGAAAAATATTTATAATATATCAATGAATTAGTATTTCAATAATTTGATGCTATAATTAAAATTTTTTTTAATAGAGAAGTTGTTGTAATTTACTACTATTTAAAAACCTTTTTAAAATCAAATTTAACAATTTTTTTTAATTAACAAAACATAAAGTAAATTTTGCACTGAACTGTGTCAACAGATTTTGAAGCAGTTATGTATATGGTAAAATATTTAATATTAGTGCTTTTATTCATCTTTAATCATCCCGTGTATAATTTTTGCACTGCAAGCGTCAGATATAGATACAGATCATATTAGAAACCAGATCTTATTACCAAAATATGATCAAAATGCCCAAAATTTTACTTAATTAAAAAATCAAATATTTTTTACTAATTTTAAAAATTAATCAAATTTGAAATATAATTTAATATTAATGATATTGTTTTACTGAAATCAGATTTTTTTGTAGCCTTTTGAAGCAAAAAAATAAAATTTTTTTTATTCAGAGTTTTGCCGTTATGTTATTCATTATTTATATTTTATGATCGGTTTTATGCCACGTATACCACTTAAGAACTCTGTTACAGGATAAATAATATCCTGTTTAATATAACATATTAAACGTTATATAATATATTTATGTTATGTGTGTTGTATAATATACAACACATATAACATAAATATATAGACTCTATAGTACGTATACGCACCGTAGTACAAAAAAGTATTATTATGTATTAAACTTGTTCGATTTTAAATGTAAAAATGAGTTAGAAAAATTTATAGAAATATATTATTCATGCATATATCATTAGACAGTTGATAAAAAATTGATTACATGTATGTAAAATAAAGTGAAAGTTTTATCGAAAGTTTCTACATAAATAATTTTTAAAAAATATGCAATAATAAAACAAAAAGTTTTATGCAAAGCTTGTTTGTTTATTATCGAAAATTGTTTCCTTTTGTTTTCTAAATTTTTTTCTCTTTATTCTAATATTTAAAAAAATTTGTGCATATTTTGCATTCCACGTTTTTTGAATAACTTTATTTATACAATTTTTTATATAAGCAAAAAAATCAATTATTTATGATATTATTTTTCTTTTAGAATGGGCTCATTCAATGCGGCGCCAAAAATAAATAACATAGACTCTCAGGATGACGGACTCGAAATACCCAAAGGTCTAACCACAAATGATCTGCTACAATATGTGAAACATTTACGTGGTGAAAATCAACACCAATTGCTTTCCAGATATTTCCTAAAGCCATCGCTGACAGTGATGTCCAATGATATTACTGACGGTTTCAGTTGCTTAAAATTAAATTCAGTTTCCAGAGGTAAAAGAAAAAAGAAACTTATTTTCTAATTCGCGAAAAAATATAAAAAATTGCATAAATCATGAGACAAATATTTTCTAAAATTTGAAAGCCAAAATAAAATTTGTTAATCAAATTTATGTTTGCTTTCTTCAACAGTTTGCAGTGCTCCCATATCATCGCCAAATCATATACGTCTGTTCCAGTGGAATATATTATCACAATGTAAGTAACAAAACAGGATATGTAAATTATGCAATAGCATTAATTAATCCTTAAATATTTTTGAAATTTTAGCACTTGGTCAGAATAACGATGGCTTTGTTTGTTGTCCGGATGATGCCTTAACTTGGGATCATCGCAAATTTCTCATCATACAGGAGATTCTACAAAATAATCCGGATATAATTTGTCTACAAGAGGTTGATCATTTTAAGTTCCTGCAAAATATTTTGGGCACACAAAACTATGAAGGCATTTTCTATCCCAAACCCGATTCACCTTGTCTGTATATCGAAGAGAACAATGGACCAGATGGTTGTGCTATATTCTACAACCGTGATAAATTCGATTTGGTTAATTTTGATACTCGCATTCTGGAAGTTTGGCGTGTGCAAAGCAATCAAGTAGCCATCGCTGCTAATCTATCTATCAAGGCAACGGGCATGGAGGTTTGTGTTTGCACCACTCATCTGAAAGCACGGCATGGTTCATTGCTAGCGAAGCTACGCAACGAACAGGGACGGGACTTGTTGCGCTTCGCAAAACAATTCGCCGATGAACGACCAGTGTTACTATGCGGCGACTTTAATGCGGAACCAATTGAACCAGTTTACTCAACAATGTTGAACTCAGATCACCTTAATTTATCAAGCGCATATGCGGATATCAAAATTGAAGCTGAAAATTTTACAAATGACCAAAATGAGGCAGTAGATATATATGATAAAGTACAAAATTCCATGCAACATGAACCACCATACACTACCTGGAAAATACGCGAGGATGGCGAGGAATGCCATACCATTGACTATGTCTTTTATTCAAAGGATAAATTTAAAGTAATTATTCATTTAAATTTTTCGTTATTGTAAAAATAATTTAAATAAATTTATATTTTTAGGTTAAAAACTGCTTGGAATTTCCACAAGGTGAAGAAATTGGCAAGAATCGCACGCCCTGCTATCAGTATCCATCAGATCACTTCTCGTTGATATGTGATTTTGAATTTCTTAATAACGAAGAGCTTAAAAATAAAATACAGTGAGATTTTACAGGGTTGTAGGGAGTAGTTGCACAATTCTATTGTAATTCCGCTGGTATTCACAGATTCAATTTATAAATTGTGATATTAGTTGTTAGCTATATTTTTAGATTTTTAGTTTTGACGATTTTTTAATACAGGAACACAAAATAAACTTTATAAAAACTATTTTGACTTATTATAATAAAGAAACTCTTGCATGG